CCCTCCTCCCTGCCGAGCACCGGTGGCTGCAGCCGGGGCTCGTGCCATGGATTTGTGCCGTGCTGGGAGCCAGATCCCCGCCTGGCAGTGGCTCAGCCCTCCGGGGGAGCAGGGAAGCATTTCCCGGGCAGCCCTTGGGATTAAACACTCGGAGCTGCCAACGCCAGAGCCACGTGCCTGGACACAGGAACAGCTTCCAAATCTGCAGGTCCCTGGGGAGCCCTGGTGCTTTGATACCCCCACCAGGACCGTGGCCCCTCGGTCAGGGCTGGGAGGGGTGCCAGGTGCTTTCCTGCCCCGTGCCAGGAGTTTCCTTGCGTTTCCACACTCGTGTCCCTGGTACAGGGGCTGTGTCCAGCTGCTGGTTCACGGCTGTGGTGGCTCAGCCCTGCCTGGGGCAGGGTTATAGCCCCCAGTGCCACCAGCAACACTCCTGGCCCTGGCTCCTGTTTAATGCCACCGTGGGGTTTGTCCCCTCACAGTGGGTTTTAGCTGGTTCAGTCACCTGGTTCTGCCCCAGCACCCACCCTGCTGGGGAACTGCAGAGCTGACACCCGTGGGTGCTGTGGGATGTGAGACACACTGGCCCAAATCCTGGCTCAAACAGGTTTCCCCCGTGACTTGAGCCAAGTCCCTCGGCCACTCCCTGCCTCGGTGTCCCCTGTGCAGGGTTAACTCCATCTCAGGGAGATCAGGATCCTCTGAAATTCCATGTGGAGGAGATCCCAAGCTCGTGTCTGCCAGCTGAGCCCTTGGCTGCCTCCTCATGCCATGAAACCTGAGCTCAGGGCTAACAAGCCCCAGGACTGTCCCTTTGAGCTCATCTGCTGCCCACATTTTGGTACCAATCACCTCCTGCCTGTGTGCAGCCTCTGGCCCCTCGTGGTTTCCTTTCTCCCCCTCCTGCCAGCACCCCACAGCCCAGGGGCCCTTGACCTGCTGTCCCCCCTTCATGCTGGGGATGTAACCCCAATTTTCTGGTGGATTTTGGAACAAGGGCCACGAGCCTGAGCAGAGCAGTGGTCTCATGGCCAGGCAGCTGCACGTGGGGGTAGGTGGGACTGCAGCAGGGGCAGGGATGGGGCAGGGATGGGGCAGGGATGCTGCCATTCCCAAGGCTGCCCTGGGGGCTGATGTCACATTGTGCCACCGTGCCATTGCTGGTGGCTTTGCCTGGGGGGTCCCTGGAGGTCTGTACCTGCCCCCAGGTCCCCATGGTGTCCATCACTCCATGTTCCCAGGGCTGGAGGACCCTTCCCCAACCTCCAGCACCTTCCACAGCCATTCCTGGCTGCCCCCCACAGGGCTGGATGGAGGAGCAGGGCCATCCCTTCCCCTGGGAAGGGGCTGAAATCCGCTGGGTGCCAGCTGGGATTGGTTCCTCAGGGCAGTTATGGCCCTCCAAACATGAGGCTGATCCTGCTGTGATCCCCTTCAGCACGGGGAAATGTCCCTATTTTGGCATTCCCAGCACTGGATGCAGTGCCAGGAGGGTTTTGTGGGAACAGGGATTTTGGGGGATGTGGGAGCACAGATGGAGAGGAGTGGAGGATGTGGAAGATGTGGAGGGGGCTGCAGCTGGAGTCCCCTCAGGTTTTGCCCTGCGAGTGCCTGGCAGTGCCCCCCAGGCTCAGACACTGCCTGGCTGTGAGCAGGTTAACACGGTCCCAGCACAGCCTAAACTAACAAATTCTGTGGGTTTTAGTTACCTTTTTTTTTTTTTTTTCATCTTTGCAGCTTATTTTTCCAGCCATAAAAACTAATAAACCCAAGTACAAAAGCTGCATTTTTTGACTATGAAAGCAGCTGTTCTCACACACTGAGCTGATCCTAAAGACTCTGGGTTTTTAAAATAACAGCAATCCTGAAATCCAGGGAAATGGGAGATAAACTGGGCAGGATGATGGGAATCACCCACCTGGGGCTGGGCCTGGGGCCCTGAGGGAGGTGAAATCATAGAATCACAGGGTGGTTTGGGTCGGAATTACCTAAAGATCATCCAGTTCCAACCCCCTGCCATGGGCAGGGACACTTTCCACTAGACCAGGTTGCTCCAAGTCCTGTCCAGCCTGGGATAGAACACTTCCAGGGAAGTGATGCACTTGGAACACCCCAGACATCCGTGGCTGAGCATCACCCTGCCCTGGCTGGGGAAAATTACTCGTTCCAGTCTGCACTAGGAGTAACCTCTGAGTGCCCCAGGAGCAGCCACACGCTTTGGTATCCCCCCCTCTGCCAATTTGAGCAAGAATGTGCTCACAGACAACCTGATAAAGACATTTTAGAAGACTTGATAAAGGTACAAACCACACCTACTTACATCCTCTCTGGTCTTTCTGCTTGACTCAGTGATAAGGATCTGGCCCGTTTTTGGCTGATCCCCACCCTGCCAGTCCGGGGGTGTTTCTCCTCTCTGAACCTCTCCCTTCCTGCCAGCGTCTTGTTGGGGATGGGATGCCCCAAACGCAGCTCAGCTCATCACAGGCACCACCAACACACAGGACCAGAGAAATCAATCCCCTGCACAGCCCCAAACTGCAGCTCTGCAAACTCAAACTCTTCCAGGGGTTATCCCGTGTCCTGTGCTGGTGACAGCTCCATCCGGCAGCAGATCGGAGCCTCAGGCTCTTCCTGGGAATTCACCAAGCTCTGGAAGTCTTTAGACAGAACAATGTTGCCCCAAACCCCCTGAGTTTGGCCTCGAAAACAATGGGACCGATTTATAAATCACCTTTTTGCGGTTGCAGGGTTGACTTTGAGCCCTGGGAACACACCTGGGGTGGGGTGGGGAGATAACGCTTTTCCAGGCTCCCCTGTACTTTAACACTGGGGAACCTTCCTAAAATACAAACTACATTTGTCCTGAGATCACCTGATGCCAGAAATCGGAGTTTTTAAAGAAAAGCAGTAAAATAACATGAGAAAAAAAATAACACAAGACATAAATGCCCCCCTCCCCGTGCTCCCAAAATGCTCCGGACGCAGGAATTACCTGCCCTGTGAGATCTGCCAGTGGATTTTCTGTTTGTGAAGGACGGAGCCCAAGCCACGCTCCAGTCCTTCCATTACAAACCAGCACCCGGAGCCAAACGCAGCGTAGGTAGAGGATACAAACTCGCCACACCCAGTGAAAATAACCCACCAAACCCTGTCCCGACCCTGTAACATCCTTGAGAACCCCCCGGCCCCGACCCAGCCAAAGCCCAACCGGCTCGAGCCGAGCTTTGTACGTGGGAAGGCGCCGCAGTTCAGGCTGCCAGCTCCCCCCCTCCGAGTGATTTCCCCCAAGAAATCGCGGACCCCGGGAAGGCAGAAAGTCCTGGGATTTGTAGAAATAACAGGCAGCAGCTTCACTAAGCTCTGAGAAGTGACAGCGGGGACAGAGCGAACCTACCCCAGGCTCCAGCGGCGCAGAGCGCCAGGACCCCGAGCGCCAGCCAGGCTTGTCCCATCTTCTCCTCCGAGCCCCGAACGCGGGGGGCCTCTTGTAGCAGCCCCTCTGAGAGGGCTGGGGAGCAGCTCGGGAGGGTTTTAAGCAGCCCAGGAGGTGAATCATGGGTCGGGCTGGATGACACACATGGCGAGCGGAGGAAACTGCGCCGGGCTCGTCAGTCGGGAGTCAGGAGTGCCCCCGCCCGCCCCGCCGCCGGCTCCTCATGCTGCTCTGGCTCTCCCAGCTCGCACAGGGACCTAAGAAACCCTGGCAGCGAGTCCTCGGCACTGGTGACCTGCAGCCGCGGGGCTGGTAACAGGCTCTTTCCCATAGGCTCTTCCGCCTGGCTTTAATTCCTCGCAAAATCTTGGGCGCTCCTTCCTTTCGTTAACTCTTGCGGGAAAGGCGGCTCGTTTTAAACCCCGGCTGAGCCGCCCGAGTTCAAGGATTTAAGGAGAAATAGAGCAAATACACACTGATATGAAAGCGTGGGTTCTCAGCTCAGAGATGGGCAAATGGGAATATCCCAGCTGGGAGCTGAGGGAGACCCAGCCAAAAATTGGACCCGGTGGAACCAGCAGTTTGGGTATAAACCTGGACATGGGTTCAGCTTTGGGGCCAGATAGTTTGGACCTGATTTTCTTCTTGCTTGTATTGTTTTTTTCCCCTCTGTGTCCTCAGGAACGGCTCCTGTGCTAAGCAAGTACAGGGAATGGGATGTGCACAGAAATGATGGAGCTGCCTGTGGATGCCTCCCAAAGGGGTTTTATCAACATCTCATTGCCCTGCAACACCAAGGGCAGAGACGGGGGAACTCCACAGACAGGCTGGGGGGCGAAAGGGAGAGAAGGGCTGTTTCCCTGGAGCCCTGGGTTGCTCCCTCCCAGCGAGTGACAGGGGTTGGGGACAGTAATGAGGCGACCCTGGGTCAAAATGATCCAACTCAGAAATGCCAGGCAGTAAAAATGAGCCTATATTGGTGCCAAGAGCTGTACCCACAGCCTGGCAGTGCCAGAGGCTGCAGGGGATGTGCCCAGTGCTGTGTGAGAGCACAGCCCCAGGCCAGGAGAGATGGGGATAACAGCACCTGTCCCACATCCCACGGATCTCAAGGAGGCGGCAGTGCCTGTGAGGGTGAGATGGAGATGTGGACTCTGCTTCAGGATCTGGAGCTTTCCTTGGCTTTGAAAGAAGATGTTTTGATGCCTCTTGGCTTCCCCAGCAGCCCCATGGGCCCTGTGGGTGCTGCTGTCCCCCCATGGTGTCTGGGCTCTGCTCACTGGGATCACTGGGATCATTGTCTGCCTGGGATCCAATTCCCTCCCCAGGGCTTGTTAATGAGGATTTGGCAAAGGGGACTAGAAGCCCGTTGACCCTCACATGATGTCAAAAAGGGCTGTACCTTGGCTGAGACATCAATACAACCCCCAGACCTGCTTTTGGGTAGCTCTAGTCTTGCCCTGCTTCAGACCCCAGAACCACCTCACACTGCAGACCCCATTAGGCAGTTTTAGGGCATTCAAATCCCTTATTTTCTGCCTGGACGTGCTGCCTACGTGGCCTTCTGCCCATATGGCTGCCTGTGCCCATGTGCTACCCTGTGTCACACTGTGACATGTCCAAGTGCTTAATGGGAGGGACAATTAATTCATCTGAAGTGTCCAGAGAGAACTGCGGGACCCTGCTGGGCTCTGCACACCCCCAGACCTGAGCTGCCATCCATGGCCCAGGCTCTCCTCACCAGGGACTCATCCTGCCCAGCACCCAATTGCCCAAAGTGGCAAGTGCTGCTGCTCCCCAGGGTCCTGCAGGTCCCTGAGTCCTGGAACTCCCTGCCCAGCGTGGGCTGTGATACTCCCAGCATGGTGTAAAAACTCTGAAGAAGAAGGAAAAAGTAATAAAATGAAGAATTTCACCTGCCTGGACCTTCCCAGGCTGGTCATGCCCGAGGACAAGGATGGCATGAACTTACCCAGCATGTCTGGGTGGAATTTCCCAGCCAGCTGCAGGAAGGTGCTGCTTGTCCTGGAAGCATCACTGGCATGTGGATGTCCCATCCCTGGAAGTGCTCAAGATCACCTCGGACAGGGCTTGGAGCAACCTGGTCTAGTGGAAGGTGTCCCTGCCCATGGTTTGGAGGCTTAGAACTAGATGAACCCAAACCATTCCAGGATTCCATGATGTTACATCCAGGCACTGTGTAACAGGCAGTGGGATGCTCCTGATTTTGGGGTCTGTGGTGGGATAAAGGCAGGGGAATGTTTGGGAGCCCAGGCAGCCCCATCGCCACAGGCTGTGACCCAGGAGTGTGTGTGCAGCCCAAATCCATGCTGGGGTGTGCTGGGAGAGGAGAGGCTGGAGCTGGAGCCACCAGAGGGAGCAGAAACTCCTTCAGTCTGGGAGCGAGCGGGGAGAGGAGCTCCCACCCACCCGGGCTGGGGCACTGCGGGTGCTCTGCTTTCCCGTGGGGATTTTTCCCGGCCCTCAGGTTAAACACGAGCAGCAGCTCGTTGGATCAGGGCTTTCACCTCCTCCCTGCAAGTGCTTCTTCTGCAAAGTGCCCTCACAGCGGGAGCGGCTCAGTGAGAGAACACCAGGTGCTGAACAAGGAGGAAAATGCAACAAGTAAACCCCAAACCGAACAGTTTCGTGCCCTTAAAGTCCCAGCAGAGAGCAGGGGCACAGGTCCCTGCCCAAAAGGAAGATCAGCTGGCACTGCCCCTACAAAGCTCCCCCCACCCTTGGTCAGTGCAGGCTCCTGCCTTTGGCTGCAATTCCTCCATCCTCATTTTCGGTTTGTTACGATCCCCTCGGGGGCTGGGCAGAGGAAACGAGCCAAGATGGACATGGATAAACCGGGACAAGGTGCTCAGGTTCTGGTTTGGGGGTGACCTGTGCCATCCACACACGATTCCAGGCACACACCAAAGGGCAGAGCTGGGGAGCCGGGACATGGCAGTGCCACGGGCACAGCCCTGGGAGGAGCAGGGTCAGGGCTGAGCCAGACATGGGTGGGCACCCTGACCTGGGGGGTCAGTCTGGGAGCTCGGGCAGACACAGAGAGGGCAGCGATGATGAAGCTTTCCGTGGGATTGTCCTGGTGGGGCTGAGGGGCCTGTGGTGCTCCAGCCCTGGATGCTGCTGTGGGACAGGGCAGAGATCAGGGGCAGCACTGCAGAGCTGCCCTTCCAAGGGCCAAAGGAGCAGGAGGGGGGAGAAGAGAGAGACCAGTGTGCTCTGAGGAGGAAACCCCCGGCCGGAGGAACGGGGCTGGATCAGCTCCTCCCGAGGCTCAGGACAGGCATCGCCGAGCAGAGCTGGGGGTGGACCGGCTGCGTTGGGCTGCTCGGAGAACGAGTGGGTGGCACGGAGCAGCAAACGGGGATCAGCGACGGCAGCGCTGGCCTGAGGCTCACAGGAGCCTTCGGGGGAGGGGACAGGGACCGGCCGGGGGGAACAGCGACCGTGCAGGATGCTTTTGGGAGCAGGTGGGGGGGGGCTGGAGGCAGGGATGAGTTAGGTGCTGCTCCACAGGGCCTCAGGGGTCAGCCCCCACCCGGGGGTGGCACTGGGCTGGGTGTGGGCACCCGTGGCAGGGCAGAGAAGGGGTGCCCAGCGTGGGGAAGGGGTGGGCAGCAGGGTGAGCGTGGAGGGGGAGGAAGGCGGTCCTGGGGGGAGGCTGGAAGGGGGTGGAGTTGCTGTTTTTGCTTCGAACACGGTGAGGACTTCAGCGTGGAACTTGCATTTGTGGAGCTCCCAGCCGGCAGGCACCAGCTCTCCCTCCCGCGGGGGAGCCCCGGCAGCGGGTGGCACTGCTTTAGGAGGGCAGCTCGGGGCAGTGGCCAGGGCAGGGGGCATGGGGTGATCTCTGGCTCCGTCCTCTCCCCCGAGCCCCCTTCGCCTCTTCTCTCTCTCTCTCCTTTTGCTGTTTTGGGAGCTCGTGCCAACGCCGTGCCAGGAGGGATCTGGGAGCCAGCCATCCCTTGGCTGCATCCCTGGCTTCCCACCTGCTCCCAGCCTCGGGGAAGTTTCCCTCTCCATCCCAGGCGCCGGGAGAAGAAAGGCAGGAGGTGCCCCGGAGCCCGCGAGGGGTGGGCAGGGGGACAGCCCGGCTTCCCTTCCGCCTCTCCTGAAGATTTTGGGATCCCTCGACAGACCATGAATGGATCCTTTTTCAACCAGACTCTCCTGGAGCAGGGAGCTGACCCCAACAGGACCCAGGGCTTGGGGGTGCTCATGGCCTGCTGCAACGGGACCAGCGCCGTGCTGGCCACCGACGGCGGCTCCTCGGCGCTGGCCCCCGACGAGAGGAGCCTCTTCATCACCAGGGTGGTGCAGATCGCCGTGCTCTGCGTCCTCTCCTTGACTGTCATGTTTGGCATCTTCTTTTTGGGCTGCAACTTGCTCATCAAGTCCGAGAGCATGATTAACTTCCTGGTGAAGGACCGAAGACCTTCCAAGGACGTGGGCGCTGCCATCATGGGACTTTACTGAGGCTCCTGTAGGCAAGTGAACTGTCTGGACCCGGTGCTGAGATGCACATTCCGTGTGTTTGGGGCAGCTGGGGGGGAGTGGGAAGGGAGGGGGGGTCTTTTAATCTCTCTGTGTCCACGGGAAAGCAAACCTGTGCTTCCCAACCAACAAACTGTCGGTGTGCAGGGGGAGATGTCCCCGGAGCTGGGTGAGGCACAGTGAGTGCCCAGCATCGTGTTGCATGCAGAAATGGCTTAAGTTTTGCATGAAACTTGCAGAAACAGTGATAATGTGCAGATCTGGACTCTTTCCTGCTGTTTCCTTGGATACTGCTACCTGGGCTTGAGGGCTCAATTAAAAAAAAAAATAAAAAAAAAAGGGAAATAACTCGTTACAAAAAGAAAACAAAAGAACAAACTAAAGGGAAAGCAAAATGCAGGGTGTAGACTTTGTCTTTGGCAGGGGCAGGGAAGTGCCCTGTGGGTCATACAACCAAGTCTGCATGCTCCCAAATGTGTCAGTCCATGTGTCAGTGTTCTGGACCTTGAGCATGCACCTTCTGCTAGTTTTGTAACAGGGAAAGCATGTTCTTCCTTATTTTTCTGAGCTATCTTGTTAAATAAACTGGTACTTTCTTCTTTCACATTCTGCTGAAGGAAGAAAAGGACCCAGATAAACACCAACCCCTCTCCACCCCCAAATCAAAAGCATGCTTGTTTTTTGTACACACCAGCCTTTTTTTCCAAGTGCTATATTGTTACAGTCCTTGAGGTTTTTGTAGTTTTTTTGCAAACTGGTGAACATTCAGGAAAAAAACCCAACCTGTTTCAAAAGAATTTTGTGGTGTCTTTATTCTTTGTGTGTGTGGAGTTCAGGAATTTCAATCCTGCTTCCAGATACAACCATCTCACCTTCCAAGTGAACTGTAATCAGAGGTATTTCTTTAAAGCAGAAACCACCACCATCATTTTTCCCAGGCAAGTATCAGTTATCACCAGCAAATAAATTCATCAGGAACTACATATTCCAGGCTCATATGAAAAACCTGCAGAGTGCTGAAGCAAAGACTCATAAAGATGCTTCGAGTGCCTCTTGTGAAGCAAGATTTCAGCCTTTGAGTTAAAACCTCCAGCTCCTCTGATCCTTATGAGCTGTCAAAACTGAATTATGTGAGAGGAGGAGGACTCCTGACCTTTGTTCTGTGATGGAATTACAGCTCTGGCTGTGGGTGTGAGATGGAAATAATTTGTGTTTTGTTGCGCCAACAATATTCCTGCTGGGTCCACTTCTGTAGTGGGAAAGCAACCCTGGATGCTGGAGGAGCTGAGGACCTGAGCTATTTGGATGGAAATCCAGAAGAACAGCTCTCTGCCTTTCCCAGAGGGAGGAGCACGATTAGAGAATGTTTTGTAATTAATCAGTATTTGCTGAGCACCTTCTGGGGGTTCCCAGGGGATGTGGAGCAGCACTAGGGCACTGCTGGCTCTGGTTGCTCCCACTCACCTGTTGCCTGGATGAGCCTTAAGAGCACAACAGCAACGTGGAGGCAGGACCAGAATTTGGGATTGAAAGCCCTGAAATGTCCTGTTGGTGCCAGTGGAAGGGCTGAGCAGGCAGGGCTGTGATTTTACTGTGATTCTGTGATTTTTGTGGCAGTTGTGGGTCTGCAGACCTGAGCTGCCTTGTCAGCATGGAGGGTTTCCTGTCCTGCTGCCAGATGTGAGAATGGCCTCACAGGGCAGCCTGGAAGGGGATTTTGGTCCCTGCTGCTGACAGGGGTGTTATGGCCATTGATCTCCTGGCACAGGTTGCCCAGAGAAGCTGTGGCTGCCCCTGGATCCCTGCAAGTGTCCAAGGCCAGGTTGGACAGGGTTTGGAGCAACCTGGGATAGTGGAAGGTGTCCCTGCCCATGGCAGGGGGTGGCACTGGATGGGCTTTGAGGTCCCTTCCACCCTAAACCACTCTGTGATTCTCAGATTCTCTGATCTGCTTGCACAGGAGTGCAAATCACTCCCAGTGTGGGGGCTCAGCCTGCCCAGACCTGAGGGTGAGATGGGAGTAACCCCAAATATACGATGACCCAGCTCTGCAAACCCTTGGGCTGGACCCGTGTGTGTCACCCAAAGGTGTAAGTGCATCTCCAGGCCGCTGTGTTGCCACAGGACAGCCCAGGTTTACCCACTGAACTCCCATCCCATTCTGCTTTCAGCTGCCATCTGGTCCCTCTTGCTGGCCCTTCCACCAGCTGTGGCCCCAACACAAGGTGGAATTCAGAGGTGATGGAAGAAACCCTGCAGTGTTAGTCAGGAGAGAAAGCTCACAGGGAAAGCTGCTAACCCACAAAAAGTGCCCAAATGCCCATAACTATGCCCTGGGTGAAGAACTGCTCCCACATCTCAGCCGTGCCCACCTCTGCCAGGGCCCTGCCAGCTCGTGTGTGTGCTGGGGGTCCTGCTCCCTGCAGTCCCACGGGGCCACCAACTTGCCAGGTGTCCTTGGAGGCCACATCCAGGAGTGGGGGGGGGGTGTCTTCAGCCCCTTCGCGCCGTGGAGTCTTCCAGAGGTGAGGAGAAACATCACCCACGGCAAAGTCACGTCCACGGGAGGTGGAGGAGCCACGACAGGGCCCAGGCAGCAGAGCTGGGCACCTGCTGGGGCAGGAGGAGCCAACTGGGAGAGGGAAGCCCAGCTTTACACTGGCTTGTCCGTCCTCTGGTGGTGCTGTGTGTCATTCCTGGTGTGTCATTCCTGGCAGAAGGGACGTGTCTGTGTCACCAGGTCGTGTGGGCCGAGAGAAGCGGTTGGTGGGCACCGTCCCCATTTCCGTGCCACAGCACATGTCCCCGTGGGGTCACTGGGGTTGCTGGGCTTCTGTCTTGCTTGCAGAGGGTTTAAGACACTTGCACATAAGTCCCCACCCCACTAGATTCCCAATAAAAGTCTGATTACCCCGCTGAGAGGAGGAATTACTGGGGAAATGAAGGTCTCTGGAGGACTGATGCCAGCACTGAGACAGCAAGAGGAGACCAGAAGAAGACAACAGAGGGCTGGCACGGTGAGGGAACCCCTTGGGGCAGAAATGTGGGGTCTAAAGACCCTCTTGAGGTGAAATCATGGTGTTGTTTTGACTGCCCTGATTCCATCCCCCCCTGTTCTCCTGGAGCCAGTGCAGGTCATGCCTGGTGGGAGGGAAGGTTCTGAGGGCACCACGTTGTCCTCCAGATCTCAGGGGCAGAGCTGCCCTCCCAGCCCCTGAAAACCCAGCTGCCCTGCCCCAGAGGCACGAGTCCTGCAGCCAGGGGACGAGGTGGTTACTCCAGGGCTGCTGTGAGTAACCAGCCCATAATGGCTCCTTCTGCTGCCTTTCCCCACAGAGAGCTGTGGTTTGTCACCTCACACCCACTCATTTAGTGTAAAGCTCACAAGTGGGTACCAGCTCTAAAGAAAATTTAAGCAGCTTTTTTTTTTTTTTTGAACAAGGCAGGTGTGATGTTATTTTTATGTATTTTTTTTCTTTTTTAATTGTTACTTGTAGCACAGTAACTTCCAGAATGTCCCCGGGGTGCCAGGAGCTGTACAGGAATGCCTGAGGGACACTGCTGGAGTGACAGGGAGGGAAGGGACGTGCTGAGGTGGATCATCACCTCACACAGAGCAAGGAGCAGCCATTGAGTGTCACCTAAAATCATCTCCTAGCAGTGGAACACCAGAAACCAGTGCAATCCTGTGGGGCTGGTCACACTGGTCTGAGTCACTGGTCTGTCTGGTCTGCATCCCTTCTGTGAAAACAACCATGATTTTGGGCAGTATGTGGTCTTGGAGGTCTTTTCCAACCTTAATGATTCCATGATTCTGTGATCCCGTGACTCTGTGGTCAGTCAAGTTGTCCTGCTGATGGGGAGCTGCTTCTTGTCCCCCCCAAGTGCAACCTGCCCTGGACCTTCACCATCCTGCTCCAGGCACAGCTCCCTGTCTCTGGGCTGGTCCCCACTTGCTGGGGTTCTGTTCCAGCTGGAATGTCTTTTTTTCCAGACAGGCAGCAGGGAAAGAGCAGAGCAAGGCAAGTGAGAGCACTTCCCCCCTGCTGAGCAGCCTGCAAAGAGAAATCCTCTGCCTCTGGAATCACTGAGGGTGGCACAGTTGGAGAAATAAAGAGGTGGATTGACCCACCTGAAAACCCCATCCAGTGCCCCTCAAAAAAAAACCCCAAAACCCCTCAAACCAAGTCCCAGATGATGCCCACCTCCCTCCCCTGCCCTGGCAGCCTGGGCAGAGGGCAAGGGAAGAGTTAAACAGCAGACAGACAGACAGATGGGGGGGGGGAAGGAGGATCCCAACTTGAGCCTGGCACCAGATGTACTGGAGCACCTGCACCAAACACACAGAGTATTTAATAATTCCTGAGAATTGCCATGGTAATGAAGCACAGAGTCAGGTTGTTATGGTAACAGCTTTTTTTTTTTTTTTTTTAGGCAGGGAGGCATTACCCAGGTTGTAACCTGGATCCAGACTGAAAACATTTCTGAGAGCCCAAAAAAAAAAAAAAAAAAAAAAAAAAAGAAGTAAAATGCAATCAAATTAAATAAGTAGCAGTTTCCTGTTTCTCGTCTGGCAGTTCTGGGCTTGTGCTGTAGGTAGGTGGAGGGAACCAGGTTGTTCCAGACACATTGCCCTGGAAAGGCTGAGGAATAGCTGGAGTGGATCCCTGCAGGTTTAAACTGATTCTCAAGGGGGTGAGGGGCTGAACCCCCCTCCTGGGTGGGTCTGGGATGCTCTGCCACCACCTGGATTCCCTGCCAGAGCTCTGGCCTGGCTTCAGGAGTGTCCCCCGTGGGCTCAGGGGAGGGACACGTGTCTGTGCAGTGTCTGTGTGTCTGTGCAGTGTTTGTGCCATGGGCAGACCCCCAGCCCAGCCCAGCCCAGCAGGATGATCCCAGCTCCCAGCCTGCCCCCAGTTCCCTGCATCCCGAAGGGTGGAGGTTCCCAAAACAGGTCTCCAAGGCTAAGCAGGCATTTGGGGGCTGACAAGGAGGTGACAGACCAGTTTTCCTAAATCCCCAGGACAGATCTAAGAAGCAAACCCAGGTTTTCCTGGGCTCTGGCAAGGTCTCCATGCTGCTGTGCTCCCTGAAGGGGCACCCGTGAGGTGAGATGGAAATGCTGGGTCTGCCTCCTGCCCTCCTGCCCTCCTGCCCTCCCATCCACGGGCAAAAAGCCTCTTCCACCTCCCCTCCCAAGCCATCCCCTCCAGCAAGTGTGTGAGCTGTGTCCAGCTGGTCCTCCCGTGGAATTTGGATTCAGTGCTGGTGAAATGAGCAGCTCTGTGAGCCTGTTTGCTCTGGAGGGAGCCGAGGGAGCGCGTGGGG